CATGGCGGGTCTGAGAGGGGCCCTGGAGGCCGCTATGCATCCTGAGAGCACGGAGCGCCTGAGGCAGCCCCGCAGAGCTGTGTGACCAGGCGGCTTCCCGGAGGGCCTGGGCCGCGGTCTCCTGCTGAGGGCTGGGGGTGGCGGGCGGGGGGGCGGGCTCACAGGTGACGCTGCTGTGGCCATTCCCGGTGGCAGGACGGCTGGTGCACCCGGAGGGGAGAAGGGATTAGAGAGGATAAAGGGCGATTAGAACCCAAATGCCCAGTGAAGGCTTAGCGGGGTTTATCTACCTTCTAATGTGACTGCGAGACGAGAAATGGCATGTTTACTATTCGCGGTGGCGGGCGGGGGGGCGGGCTCACAGGTGACGCTGCTGTGGCCATTCCCGGTGGCAGGACGGCTGGTGCACCCGGAGGGGAGAAGGGATTAGAGAGGATAAAGGGCGATTAGAACCCAAATGCCCAGTGAAGGCTTAGCGGGGTTTATCTACCTTCTAATGTGACTGCGAGACGAGAAATGGCATGTTTACTATTCGCGGCTGAGCCAGAACTAAAAACCCCATCGAACAAACAGGCACGGTTTGCTCTGATGCGGTCTCCTCCGAGAGGGGCGGGCGGCAGAGCCTAGAGCACCCACCAGCAGGCCACGTTCGGGACCCGGCACGCCATGCCAAGCTCCGACTGCGTGCACAACACTGTGGGTCTCAGTGGTTGCAGGGGGGCCGGGGAGGGGAGGGCCGACACCTCCCTTGGCCAGCACCAGCACCTCAGGAAACCCCGCAGGGGGTCTCGGGGCTCCCAGCGTGTCCTCCCCACCGCAGTGTGTTGTGGGGACTCCTGTCTTTGGAGACCAGAGCAGGCAGGGAAGGCCGCACGGGAAGCCCAGGAGTGGGGCCAGCCGAGGAGAAGGGACGTCTACTGGCCTGGGTGCAGGTGAGGCCACCTGCTCCTCCACTGTGGCCGACAGAACCTTCTCGGTCCCTGACACGGAGGTCTCAGAGCTCCGGAAAGCCCTGTGCCTGTAGCCCGTCACCTCACTGCCCGAGGAGGAGATTATAATGTCAGAGATGGTCGTGCGGGGCATGGAACTAGAATCAAGTAGGAGGCTGCCGCCGTGGAAGCCGCATGGGGCTGGCTGGCGGGAGGGTGTCCCTGGAGCGTGTCAGCAGGGTGGGCTGGGAGGGCTGCCCAGGCCCCTGGTCGCCAGCCTCAGGCTTCCCTACACCTGCGGGACCAGAGGGCTGGGCTCCCTGCTGGAGGTGCCCGCTCTGCTGTCTGCTGCCGAGGGCCAGGAGCTGTCCACTGATCGGTGCTGAAGACGGTCAACAACCACCATCGACAGGAACCGGCTGCGCTGGCCCACGCCTGGCCAGGTGGCTCTGGCAGCAGGGCTGGCGCCGTGGTCTGTGGGACAGGGAACTCCTTGCTGTTGAGTCTGAAGTTCCTGAAGTTTGAATTGCATTTCTGGACTCGTGGCGAGAGCCTCCCCCTCCTGACTTTGCAGAGCAAGGATGTTGCTTTGGAGTGTGAGGTTGGTGATGGGTAGGTCGGCGTCTATCATCACAAAATGCTCACAGCAAAGACCCCCAGCCTCTGTGGCAGGCAGCTGGGAGCACAGATTCCTGTCCAGGCATCGGGGGGCGCGCCAGGCGCTTCCGCTGACTGAGAGGGGCTACACGGGGCTCACCCAGACGCTGTGGCCACTTCGGGTTGGCGAGGTGGCTTTGCTGACCTTCACCTTTGATCTCCTTACGCATTGGGGCCCTCAAGCTGGGACCCTGGGCCGCCTGGCTCTGCTCCACACTTTCCCCCTCCCCCTGGCTACCTGGGCAGAGGAGCAAGAGTGGGAGCCTGGCTTTGGTGGGCACGTATCACTTCGGCTGCATTCTATTGGCCAAAGCAAGTCACAGGGCCAGGCTGGCCAAGGACGACTCCCCTCCTGATGGTCACACGGCGAGGGGCCCAGAGGCAGGAGGCTGAGGCCCTGTGGCCATCCAGCAGGGAGTCTAGCACAGGCAGGGCGCACAGGGGCAGACACGGAGGCCGGGCTGGCTTGCTTCCTCGGGGGAATCTTTGGGTGCCATTGGCAAAACCTTCCCTTTGAATTGTCCCCGTCTTCTCAAGGTCTTGCCAAGCCTGGCACAGACCCTCCCCCCAAGGCACAGTCTTCACAGCCTCAATCCTGGGATCTCACCCAGACCCAAGAGTCTCCCGGGAAGATGTTGGCCGGAGGCAGCTTCCCTCTCCCTCTCCCCAGCCTCTCCTGCGGGGTAGACCATGGCGTCTTCCTCGGTGCTTTAGCCTCCGGTCCAGCGGCCTTGCATTTTATCTGGCAAATAAGCTCCTCCCACACCTGGCGGGAGGTGCTGGCGTTTACCGGGCCCTCCCCCTGCATCAGGCACGCAGGAGGCATCCATCGTCTCCATCATGTGGTCCAGTTCTCACAGCAATCCGGGAGGGGTCCTCATGACCGCCCTGTATTGCTGGGGGGCACGTGGCGTCACCTCTCTGAGCTCCCGCTCGAGGTGCCCGCCTTGCTGCGGAGGGCCAGGACTTCCGACTCCACTGTCCACAGACCACGGCTCCAGCCCTGCAGCTGCGGCCACCTTGCCCGCCCTGGGCCGGCGCAGCGGTTTCCCTGTGGGTGGGAATGCTGACCATCCTCAGCACCGGGTTGGTGGACAGCTCCTGGCCCTCCATGGTGAGGCGGGCTCCTCAGATGGGAACTCAGAGAGGCTAAGTCTCATGCCCATGTTGCCAACAGCAGCGCACGGCAGAGCCAGGAGTCAAACACAGCTCAACTGACCATGTCCTGCCCCGACCCACAGACTGGAAGGCCAAGACCCCTCGCCCGGCGACAAGCTCCCCCGCTCCGGCCCGGCAGTGGTCTGGCAGATGAACGCTGAAGTTTTATTTTTTCCTTCGCGTTTCCATCTGCTCGCGCAGCACCCAAATGCATGCACGTTCAGGCGCCATCTGTGACCACAGCCCCATTTCCAAATGCGAAGGCATTTTCCTGCTTGTACTTAGCATGCACGGCGGCACCACGGTCCCACGGAACAGCTCATCCTGCATCGCCGCGATGCAGGGGCCCCGGGGGGTTCTCTCCAAGGAGGGGGGCTTTTCGCTAAACGGGAGTTTTGTTTCCTGGCGTGGGCTATTTCTCCTGGCTGACATTTCCGTGGGCTCCGTGTGCTGGCTGCACAGCTCCACGTCTCCCTGTTGTCTCAGCTGGTAGCAGACGCAGCGCACCGTCGCCAATCGCCTGCACGGGTGCGCGCAGGCCACTGTGCACCTGCAGGCCCCCAGTTCATGTCTTCTTCCTTCTCAGTGACCTCACGGGGGCTGGATGTGGGTCTCCTGCGCCCTTTAGGACCGACACCTCAGAACTCTGATGTCTTCGGGTTCCACGGATGCACATCCCGGGTGGGGGTCTGGATGGAGCCACTGTGCCGATCCCACATCAAGACGCTGGGCCCACATGAGGAAGGTGTGGCTGTGTGAGACCGAGGGCGGGCTCCAGGCGGGGTCCGGCACAAGGCGCGTGGCAAGGGCCAGAGGGAGAGGACACGGGCAGGCAGGGACGAGGCCTGGCCTCCGAAGCCCACGGGGCCTAGACTCGATGCAGGGGAACGTGGACTGGCTCTTCCCTCTGGGGCCTCGGTTTCCCCTGAGTGCGCTGGCGGGGTTCAGCCAGATGGCCGCGTGCGACGAGCCTTTTCATCTGTGATGCGCTCGTGTTCATAAAAAACACCATT